CTGGTGGGTTTGAACTGCCAACCTTGGGATTTGCAGCGAAATGCCTTACTCACTGCACCACCTGAACTCTGAAAAAATTCCTTATTATTATTAACTTTGAAAATATTCTTTATTTTCCTTAACTTTGAAAATATTCTTTATTATTTGTTCTTCCCAGATGAGTAGGTCTAACTTTTCTGAAATGTGCTTACTGTAACTAATGAGATAAAATTAAGGAAAAATAAAAATGAAGAGGAAAAGCTGTTATTAAACAAATAAACAACAACCCTGTGCCAACAGCTGAACTGTGTAGCATAAGCATCCCCTACCCTCTGAGAGGAGTGAGGATTATGTAATTCACCCAAGGTCACATGGATTCCGGGGTTTAATGGGCAACAAAGCTTACTTGAGAACTTCCTTTCTTGAGCCTCACATACACAATTTTCTGAGGACGTTGCTTTTTGTGTGGCAAAAGTTCGTCTCCCAGCTTCTCATAAACAAGTGTCTTTTCTCCACCCACACACCCTCTCTTTTTCTCTTTTGCTATTGTCTGTTCTGGTCATTGGGGCAGTGCCATTCCTGACCTTGATTTCCTCCACAGAAGGAAAGCCTTAGTCGGACAAGATGTCTTATCTTTGGGGTCCTTCTTCAGGTGATCTTTCTGTGATTATCCCCGACACTAGCTACTATGGGGGCACTGGAAAGCTTAAGACTCAGTCCCCCTACTTGAAGCATTTCTTGTGGTATTAGAGAGAGAGACAAATAATTTTAGGCTACTTAGCTACACAGGATTGTGTGTGTTTCAGATAATAAGCAAGGTGGGATTCAAGGAAGGAATTGTCAAGGGGTGTCTTGGAGACAGGAAGTCCAGGTCTCTTGGTTACCACCTTATGCTACTACCTCATATCAGTTTAATAATTCATTCTAAATATGATAGCATAGTGCCTAAGGCACTTGACTGCTAACCAGAAGGCGGGCAGTTCAAACCCACCAGCCACTTCTCGGAAGGAAGGTTGGGCAATCCTACTTCTGTAGTAATACTGCCTCGGAAATCCAAGGAGGGGTCGCTATGAATCGGGACCGACTTGACGGCACATAACAAGAACAAGAACAAATATGATAACCTCTGGGGCAAGTTTAAAGAGCTCTGGTGGTGCAGTGCCTAAGGCATTTGACTGCTAACGAGAAGGTTGGTGGTTCCAACCCACCAGCTGCTCTGTGGAAGGAAGATTGGGAAATCTACTTCTATAAAGATTTACAGCCTTGGAAACCCAATGGAGATCACTATGAGTCAGAATCAACTTGATGGAAGTGGCTTTGGTTTGGGGCAAGAATGGGCAGTGGAGGCATTCCAGGGTTCCACTGCCATTTCTGTGGCCTTGTGGGAGTGTGCTGGGCACAGAAGCTCTGATTGTTCTTGAGAGTACCTGTCACCACTCACCCTCCCACCCCTGCCAACATTTTATAAACCCTTCTCAGAAAATAGTGAGAGCCGATGATCATTCCCTACCTTATTCCCTATCAGATGTGGGTGAGGAACCAGCACTGAATGGTATGAGGACAGGGTGCTCTGGTGACCACATTGCCATGGGACTTGGGAAGGCCACTCCACTTTTCTGGTCCCAAGTTTCTCCATCAGTGAAATGTAAGACTAGATGATCATTTAATTCTCTTACCAGCTTGTATTTTTTGATTCACTGCAGTCCTAAGCCTCCTCACTTTTTGTCTGAAAACTCCCCCTTCCAAGAGCCACACCATCCCTTTACATAAATTGCACCTGTGATGGAGCTGAACCAAGAATCATTTTCTGCCTAGAGTGAAATTCCTAACCTACTATCATAAGGACATTTGAGCACCATACTATTTGAGTTTGGACAGAAAATCTTTGCTTTTTCAATATTCTAGTGGGTTATCTCAACGTTAAGAGTCCTGGTGGCATGAAATACTCAATTGTTAACTGAAAGGCTGAGTGCTTTAAACCCACCAGCTATTCCATAAGAGAAAGATATGGCAGCCTGGTTCTGTCAAGATTACAGCCTTGGAAACTATGGGGCAGTTCTATTTTTTCCTATAGAGTGGCTGTGAGTTGGAATCTCTTCAATGGCAAAGCGTTTGGTTTTGGGTATCTTGAAGTTGGACATTGGGAAATAAGGTAATAAATGCTATGAGATTATCTTGACATATATATATATATGGGTGAGTTGTTCTGTCTGTGTGTGTGTGTGTGTGCATCCTTTGAAATGGGTTAAAACAATGGAGTATTGACATGACATATGTCTGTGTTATATTGCATTTGCAATATTCTACCAAATATTGATACTGTATAACCTTGTCCAGATTTGCCTGAAATAATAGAATGTGAGGATCAAGTGAGGCCAAGCATCTGAAAATGCTTAATAAAAATAATAGCTAATAATTTACTGAGCAATCACTATGTGCTAGGCACTGGCCAAAGTGCTTACATGTATACTTCACAAATGACGAGGTAGGCACTATTGTCATCCCATTTTAGAGTTGAGGAAACCAAGGAAGATTGAGTAATTTACCCAAGGGCCCATAATTAGAAGGTAGTGGAGCTGGGATTTGAACCTGGGCAGCTTTGTGAACTATAAAGCATTGTGAACTATGAAGCCTCATAGAGACACCAGAGAATGTTGTTATTACTACTGACTGATGTTTAAGAAATATGAGAGCTGTTACCTTGAGATTTCCCAGAGGGGGTTGGGTGAACCCTATCCAGGGCTTGGATGCTGCCAATTCAGAGCTGGATAAAAGGATCCTTTGAGAATCCAAGTTCAAGTGGAGAATGTGGAGCTCTTTGATTCACACAGAGGCAAACAAAGACCATGAAACATTATCTCAAGGAAGAGAGATGACTTGGCCAAAACCACATTTGTGAATTAGTGTCCACACTGGAGCTGAAACTCATGTCTCCTTCAATGGGACTTTACCAAATCAAAGAATGGTAGGGCTGGCTAAGGCTTTGGAGCAGGGTGGGGGAGGGATGTGCTGCTCATTTTATACATGAGGAAACAGCCCAGACAGAAGTGACTGGTCTAATGGCAAACAGCTAGAGACAGTTAGACACTCAAATGTATAATTTTACAGAAGTTCCTTAACTTCTGTGCTTCAGTTTCCTGTCTGTAAAATGAAGGCCTAGATCAGAGTCCCTTACATCAGGGGATCGCAGTGATTTTTTCCACATCTTTCTTTTTATCATACACACAGCGTCTGCTGTTGTTAGGTGTCAATGAGTACATGACCCCATGGATGACAGAACGAAACACTGCCCAGTCCTGCGCCAGCCTCACAATTGATGCTATGTTTGAGCCCATTGTTGCAGCCTCTATGTCAATCCCTCTCATTGAGGGTCTTCCTCTTTTTCACTCTCAACTTTACCAAGCATGAAACCCTTCTTTAGGGAATGATCCTTCCTGATAATATGACCAAAGTACAAGAGACAAAGTCTCACCATCCTTGCTTCTAAGGAGCATTCTGGCTGTACTTCTTCCAAGACAGATTTGTTTGTTCTTCTGGCAGCCCATGTTATACTCAATATTCTTTGCCAACACCATAATTCAAATGCATCAATTCTTCTTCTGTCTTCCTTAGTCATTGTCCAGCTTTCATATGCATATGAAGCAGCTAAAAATACCATGGCTTGAGTCAGGTGCACCTTAGTCTTTAAAGTGACATGTATTCATAAGGTTTTCAGTGGTCAGTTTCTTT